CTGTGGGTTTGTCATAAATAGCTTTTATTATTTTGAGATACTTTCCATCAATACCTAGTTTATTGAGAGTTTTTAGCATAAAGTGCTGTTGAATTTTGTCAAAGGCCTTCTCTGCATCTATTGAGATAATCATGTGGTTTTTGTCTTTGTTCCTGTTTATGTGGTGGATTATGTTTATAGATTTGCATATGTTGAACCAGCCTTGCATCCCCAGGATGAAGCCTACTTGATTATGGTGGATACGCTTTTTGATGGGCTGTTGGATTCAGTTTGCCAATATTTTATTGAAGATTTTTTTTTTTTTTTTTTTTTTTTGTGGGTGGGGGGACGAAGTTTTGCTCGTTACCCAGGCTGGAGTGCAATGGCGCGATCTCGGCTCACCGCAACCTCCGCCTCCTGGGTTCAGGCAATTCTCCTGCCTCAGCTTCCTGAGTAACTGGGATTACAGGCACGCGCCACCATGCCCAGCTAATGTTTTGTATTTTTAGTAGAGACGGGGTTTCACCATGTTGACCAGGATGGTCTCGATCTCTTGACCTCGTGATCCACCCGCCTCGGCCTCCCAAAGTGCTGGGATTACAGGCTTGAGCCACCGCGCCCGGCTTTTATTGAAGATTTTTGCATCAATATTCATTATGGATATTGGCCTGTAGTTTTCTTTTTTAGTTGTGTCTCTGCCGGGTTTTGGTATCAGGATGATACTGGTCTCATAGAAAGAGTTAGGGAGGATTCCCTCTTTTTGTATCGTTTGGAATAGTTTCAAGAGGAATGGTACCAGCTCCTCTTTGTATGTCTGGTAGAATTCAGCTGTGAACGTGTTTGGACCTGGACTTTTTTTGGTTGGTAGGCTATTAATTGCTGCCTCAACTTCAGACCTTGTTATTGGTCTATTCAGGGTTTCAGTTTCTTCATGGTTTAGTGTTGGGAGTGTGCAAGTGTCCAGAAATTTATTCATTTCTTCCAGATTTACTGGTTTATGTGCATAGAGTTGTTTGTAGTAATCTCTGATGGTAGTTTGTATTTCTGAGGAATCAGTGGTGATCTCCCCTTTATCGTTTTTTATTGCATCTATTCAATTCGTCTCTGTTTTCTTTTTATTAGTCTAACTAGCAGTCTATTTTGTTGATCTTTTCAAAAAACCAGCTCCTGGATTTATTGATTTTTAAAGGTTTTTTGTGTCTCTATCTCCTTCAGTTCTGCTCTGATCTTAGTTATTTCTTGTCTTCTGCTTCCTTTTGAGTTTTTTTGATCTTGCTCCTCTAGCTCTTTCAATTTTGACGATAGGGTGTCGATTTTAGACCTTGCCCTGTTTCTCCTGTGGGCATTTATTGCTGTAAATTTCTCTCTAGACATTGCTTTAAATGTGTCCCATGGGATCTGGTACATTGTGTCTTCGTTCTCATTGGTTTCGAAGAACATTTTTATTTCTGCCTTCATTTCATTGTATAACCATTTGTCATTCAGGAGCAAGTTGTTCGGTTTCCATGCGATTGTGTGGCTTTGAGTGCTTTTCTTAATCCTGAGTTCTAATTTGATTATGCTGTGGTCTGAGAGACTGTTTGTTATGATTTCCATTCTTTTGCATTGGCTGAGGAGTGATTTACATTTGCTGAAGACTGACTGACCAATTATGTGGTCAATTTTAGAATAAGTGTGATGTGGTGCTGAGAATAATGTGTATTCTGTGGATTTGGGGTGGAGTGTTCTGTAAATGTCTCTTAGGTCCACTTGGTCCAAATCTGCATTCAAGTCCTGGATATCCTTGTTGACTTTCTGTCTCATTGATTTGTCTAATACTGTCAGTGGAGTGTTAAAGTCTCCCACTATTACTGTGCAGGAGTCTAAGTCTCTTTGTAGGTCATCAAGAACTTGCTTTATGTATCTGGGTGCTCCTGCATTGGGTGCATATGTACTTAGGATAGTTAGCTCTTTTTGTTGCATTGATCCTTTTACCATGATGTAATGCCCTTCTTTGTCTCTTCTGATCTTTGGTGATTTAAAGCCTGTTTTATTAGAGAGTAGGATTGCTACCCCTGCTTTTTTTTTTTTTTTTTTTTTTTTTTTTTTTTTTGCTCTCCATTTGCTTGGTAAATCTTCCATCGCTTCATTTTGAGTCTATGTGAGTTTTTGCACATGAGATAGGTCTCCTGAATACAGCATGCCGATGGGTCTTAACTTTTTATCCAGTTTGCCAGTCTGTGTCTTTTCATTAGGGCATTTAGCCCATTTACATTCAATGTTAATATTGTTATGTTTGAATTTGATCCTGCCATTTTTTTACTGGCTGGTTGTTTTGCCTGTTAGTTGACGCAGTTTCTTCACTGTGTCATTGGTCTTTACCATTTGGTAAGTTTTTGCAGTGGCTGGTAGTGGTTGTTCCTTTCCATGTTTAGTGCTTCCTTCAAGAGCTCTTGTAAGGCAGGTCTGGTGGTGACGGAGTCTCTCAGCAATTGCTTGTCCGTAAAGGATTTTATTTCTCCTTCACCTATGAAGCTTTGTTTGGCCAGATATGAAATTCTGGGTTGAAAGTTCTTTTCTTTAAGGATGTTGAATATTGGCCTCTACTCCCTTCTAGCTTGTAAGGTTTTGCTAAGAGTTCTGCTGTGAGTCCGATGGTCTTTCCTTTGTGGGTGACTCAACCTTTCTCTCTGGCAGCCCTTAGGATTTTTTCCTTCATTTCAACCCTGGTGAATCTGACAATTATGTGCTTTGGGGTTGCTCTTCTTGAGGTGCATCATTGTGGTGTTGTCTGTATTTCCTGGATTTGCATGTTGGACTACCTTTGTAGGTTGGGGAAGTTCTCCTGGATAATATCCTGAAGAGTGTTTTCCAGTTTGGATACATTCTCCCTGTCACATTCAGGTACACTGATCAAGATTAGGTCTTTTCACATAATCCCATAGTTCTTGGAGGCTTTGTTCATTTCTTTTCACTCTTTTTTTCTCTAATCTTGCCTTCTCATTTTATTTCATTGATTCGATCTTCAATCTCTGATATCCTTTCTTCTGCTTCATCAGTTTGGCTGTTAAAACTTATGTTTGCCTTGTGAAGTTCTCATGCTGTGTTTTTCAGCTCCATCATGTCGTTTATGTTCTTCTCTGAGCTGGTTATTCTAGTTAACATTTCGTCTAACCTTTTTTCAAGGTTTTTAGTTTCTTTGCATTGGGTTAGAACATGGTCTTTTAACTCAGAGAAGTTTGTTGTTGCCCACCTTCTGAAGCCTGCTTCTGTCAGTTCGTCAAACTCATTCTCTACCTTGTTTTGTTCCCTTGGTGGTGAGGAGTTGTGGTCCCTAGGAGAAGAGGTGTTCTGGTCTTTGTATTCATCCTTTTTGTGCTAGTGTCTTCCTGTCTTCGTGGATTTATCTCCATTTTATCTTTGAATTTGGTGATTTCGGGAGATATCTGAGTGGTCGTCCTTTCTGTTGAGGTTGGAGATGTATCTCCTATGTGAGGTTTTTGTTTTGTTTTGTTTTGGTTTGGTTTTGGTTTTGGTTTTTGCCTGTAGAGGCGCTGCTGGGCTGCCTTGGATTCATTCAGGCTGCTAGGAGGTCTTCCCCTGGAGTTTGTTTATGCAGGTGAGATTAGCCCCGCCTTCCCAATGGGAGGGCATCTTTCCTTCCCTGTACTCAGTCTTCCCTGTCAGAGTCAAACTGGTGTATTTGCTTGGAAACTCTCTAGCACGCCAAGCTTCAGTTTGTTGGGTTTTGTGGGGGTGGAACCTGCCAGGCGTTATGTACTGTTTCCCTGCTTTCAACTCTGCTTTTTTTTTGTGGGATGGGTAGTTTGGTCCCCCTGGCATTAGTCCAAACTTCCACCCTGTCGCTGCTGACAACTTGTGGCGTCAGGTAGGCCGCAGCCACCGCTCAGATTTTCATAGAACGAAAACCCACAGCGCCCCTCAGTCAGGCGGGGCTCTCGTGGACCGTGGGTTGCTGGAGGGATGAGGGTAGCACAGGATCCGAATTGGAGAGCAGCGGGGGTGAAGTCCCTGGCCCTCCAAGCCAGCTTCACTTTCTGGATGGGGACGCGGCCCGCCCTGTCTCAGTTCGCCCTCCCTGGGCTGCTCTCGCCTCGCTTTGGCTCGCCTTCCCTGGGCTATTTTCTCTTTCCTACCATTCCCACTGAAACGAACCCAGAAGCTTGCTTGGAATCATGGAGTCCTCTAGCCCCTCTACGTCTCACTCGCTGGGAGCTGCACTCCTGAGTTGCCTCCTCTCAGCCGTCTTGGCAGCTCCCCCATCACAATTAGGTGTTTTTCTATTTTAGCAAGTTGACTTCTAGAGATGTAGAAGACGATTCTGACGTGCTACTTAAAATTTCCCTAGAAATCCAGACATGTATATAAAAAAGAAAAAGATACCAGTGTAGGCTGGGTGCGGTGGCTCACGCCTGTAATTCCAGCAGTTTGAGAGGCCGAAGTGGGCGGATCATGAGGTCAAGATGTCAAGACCACCCTCGCCAACACGGTGAAGACTTGTCTCTACTAAAAATATAAAAATTCGCAGGGTATAGTGGTGGGCACCTGTAATCCCAGCTACTTGAGATGCTGAGGCAGGACAGTCACTTGAGCCCAGGAGGCAGAGGTTGCCCTGAGCCGAGATTGCACCCACTGCACTCCAAACTGGGCGACAAGAGTGATAGATACTCCACCTCACAAAAATAAAAATTTAAAAATACCAGTGTAAAACAAGATCAAATGATACAACCGAAACGCACAAATGCTATCCAGATGTTTTTGTTATTGCCCATTTATTTTGGCCAGTGAACATTTGATTGACTCACGTATGAAGTTCAGGGGCCCTGCACTTTTTATCTCTTTCCTCAATATTAATGCACTTACCCCTGTCTATTTTTCTCTCTTTTTTTTTTTTTTGGTGGGGAAGATAACGCCTGTTGTGTACAGTAGGACCGTGGGTCATTGTGTATGTATAGAAGTGATGTGGATCCCTCCCAGACTCATTAGTGACCAGGGCTGCTGGCCCTGTTTGGGTTTCCTAGACTAGAGAAGAAGACAGGAACCAGGATGGGAAGATGGACATGTTACATTTTAAGCTGGAGCTTCCCCTGCAGTCCACGGAGCACATTCTCGGTGTGCAGCTCATCCTGACTTTCTCCTATCAGTTACACGTGAGTCAGTCCGCTGGGAGGCCATCCTCTGTCTTGTGTCTTTTTCATAGACCAGAGCCCTTCTTCTGATTTCTAGAAGAAACACACCATAGCAGGCCCTTTTCCCCATGTAGTTTGGGATAGCTTAGGCCAGTCAAATGTTTTTCACTGGAGTCCTGTTAATTAATATGGGCTATTAATAGCTCAGAAGGTTCTAGGCAGTGTTTCCTGTATGACTGTGCTGGGTATGTGAGGGCCCCTTAGGTTTCAGCCAAGACAGGTGACTGTTACCACCCAGAACCCTTCAGATCTGCCAGCGGTTGGTATTGTTTGTTTTTCTAATGATTTCAGAGGATGTCGACCTTCGTGATGCAGAGCATGGCATTTCTTCAGTCCTCCTTTGCTATCCCTGGATCCCAGTTATATGTGAATGGAGACCTGAGGCTGCAGCAGAAACAGCCGCTGAGCTGTGGCGGCCTAGATGCCCGATACAATGTAAGGGTGCTTCTCATTGTCCAGCCCCTTTGTTTCCGTGTGTTTCTGTTCATCGAGTTCTTTGAAGAGGCAAATGAAAAGTAGAAATATCAGGCCAGGCGTCATGGCTCATGCCTGTAATCCTAGCACTTTGGGAGGCCAAGATGGGCAGATCACTTGAGGCCAGGAGTTTGAGAACTGCCTGGACAACATGGTGAAACCCTGTCTCTGCTAAAAGTACAAAAAAATAGCTGGGCTTGTGGCACGCACCTGAAATTCCTAGCTACTCAGGAGGCTGAGGCAGGAGAATTGCTTGAACATAGGAGGTGGAGGTTACAGTGAGCTGAGATCATACCACTGTACTCCAGCCTGGGCCACAGACTGAGACTCTGTCTCAAAAAAAAAAAAAGAAAAATGAAAACAGAAAAGAACCTAAGGGATACTGTAAAATGATCATGTAAAATGTTCACGTAAAGTATTTCAGAAATATTACTAGCCATAGTCTACTGAACCCATAACATAGGCCAGCCCTGAGTGCAGGGGTTTACCTGTATCATCTCCTTTAATTATCACAGCAACCTCTGAGCCGCCCGCACTGTCCTTTCCCAGAGCTCCAGTCACTTGTCCCATCGCTGTCCCCCTTGCCGCCTTCCACCCACCTTGGCCTTTTTGCTGTTTCTCAAACCCAGGAAGCAGCTGCCACCTCAGGGCTTTTGCTCTTGCCATCTCCCCTGCCAGGCATCCGCGTGACTTAGCGGACTAGGCCATTCAGGTCCCTGTTCAGATATCCCTGAGCACAGCCCTTCCCCGAGCTGCCTCTGCAGTAGCAGCCCCTCCCACCATCATCCCTCAGCCAGACTTTCCCTCCTGCCACCTGGCCTACCCAGGACACGTGTTTGTGTGTTTATTTGTTGTCTCCCTCAGCGTTGACAGCAGTGGCATCTCATGTACTGTCACGTCAGTGCCTAGCACCCTGCCTGGCACATGGGAAGCTCACAGAGATGCTTGTTTAAAGAATGAACTCATTTTGTGGAAGACAAAACTGGGGCTTACAGTGATTAATTTTCCCAAAGGGTCAAAGCTTGAAAGTATATCAGAGCCAGGAAGTTTCTGTCTGAGTCCAGAACTCATGCATCAGATCACTCATTCCTCAACTTGCTTTTATCACAACAGGGACCGTAGAAGTTGGGCTGAGGTAAGTTAGACAGTGAGAAAGGGACATTCCCAGTTATTACAGTCATAAACCAGTGCTTGCAGATAAACAGTGGTTTTACTGTTGCTCTGGCTATAATCGACGTAAGTTATAAGGAAGAGGAAGCAATATATGAAATAATGAATGTGGCAATTTTTGTTTGAATGTCTGTATATCAGATTACATTAACAGCAGCAGTTATTTTCTCCTTTACAGTGTTATACACTTACGGGTTGCATTTTATCTATTTCTATCTCTATATTTAAAAGTGAGAAAGAACTTAGCACCCAGAGAACATCAAGAAAATGACAAAGCAGTTGGAAGTATGGTTTCTTGTTTTTGTTTTTGTTTTTTATTTTTATTTTTGAGACAGAATCCTGCTCTGTCACCCAGGCTAGAGTACAGTGGCATGATCTCAGGTCCCTGCAACCTCCACCTCCCAGGCTTAAGAGATAGTCTGGCTTTAGCCTCCTGAGTAGTGAGTAGCTGGGATTACAGGCATGTGCCACCACGCCAGACTAATTTTTTTTTTTTCTTTTTTTTAGTAGATATGGGGTTTTGCTATGTTGGCCAGGCTGGTCTCAAGTGATCTATCTGCCTTGACTTCCCAAATTGTTGGGATTAGAGACATGAGCCACAATGCCTGGCTTTTTTTTTTTTTTTTTTTTTTAAGAAAGAGCGAGAGATGAGGTCTTGCTCTGTTTCCTAAGCTGGAGTGCAGTGCCACAATCATCATTGACTGTAGCCTTGAACTCATGGCCTCAAGTGGTCCTCCTGCCTCAACCTTCCAAGTCAGTGGGATTGCAGACATGAGTCACCACCCCTGGTGAAAATATGGTCTGTTAAAATAATGTAAGGAATTCTTTCTCCTACTGAGATAGAGGGAGTACTTTTTTTTTTTTTTAAGGCAGGTTTCACCATGTTGGTCAGGCTGGTCTTGAACTCCCGACCTCAAGTGATCTGCCTGCCTTGGCCTCCAAAGTGCTTGGATTACAGGCGTGAGCCACCACGCCTGGCCAATAGAGGGAGTACTTTAAAAATAGCTTTAAAACCTATGAAACATGGACACTGACCCCTTATTTCCATCTGCAGAAAGACTGAGAGTAAATGGGCTTAAATTGTTGCGAGCGAGTTTATTCATCTTTGAAGAGAAGATTATTGACACAGGAATAGGCCACCAAGACCACAAGGGTGGTCTGTGGGACCAGCCTGGGTGTCAGGAGGGTAGAAGGAGGAGAGGAGGAGACTCCCAGCTGCTCACACCGCATCCTCCTCCTGTGTCCCAGGTATCCGTGATCAACGGGACCAGCCCCTTTGCCTATGATTATGACCTGACACGTGTTGTTGCTGCCTACCAGGAAAGGAACGGTGAGTCCCAGGTAGAGCTCATAACTTTCAAGGTTACTGGGGCAACAGAGACAAACAGAACTGGAGCCCTTGTGATGTAAATGTCAAAACCCATGAATGTTCAACAATGGGAGCAAGTGTGCTGTCTAGGATTTGTCCTTTTCATCCTGATCTTCAGAACCGGGACCGCCCCCACCCCTCCAGCATCCCATGGTCCGTATCTCACTGGCTTGATGGGTTTCCTTTTTTTTTTTTTGAGATAGAGTCTTGCCCTGTTGCCCAGCGTGGTGTACAATGGTGTAGTCTTGGCTCACTGCAACCTCTGCCTCCCGGGTTCAAGCGATTCTCCTGCCTCAGCCTCTTGGGTACCTGGGAATTTAGGCATGCGCCACCACGCCCGGCTAATTTTTGTATTTTTAGTAGAGACAAGGTTTTACCATCTTGACCAGGCTGTTCTCAAACTCCTGACCTCGTGATCCACCCACCCTGGCCTCCCAAAGTGGTGGGATTACAGGCGTGAGCTACCTTTTTTAAAAATATAAGCCTAATTGAGCTGTTCCCCATACCACACCTATAACAGATGCCAAAGACAAATTGCTGTTCACACTTTTCAGAGAGGAAACGAGAACATAGGTGACTCTCCCCACGTAAGCAGTCCAGCAGGAGAACAGGAGCGCCCATGCTTCCTACCGGAAAGCACAGTGTCCTCATTCCTTACAGAGCTGTAGGCCACGGCATGTGTTGACTTGGCACATTTGGCTGGCCAGTGGCTGAGGTTTTCCCTAAAGGCATCTACAATATTACTTGGCAACCAGATATCAGGGAGACTACACACAGACATTTCACAAAGAAAGACGACTGCAAATCCACCATTGCTTTCTGATTTTATGTCACATACTAGCGGCATTATTGCAGTACTAAAGGGAATTTTAAAACAAATTCCCTCTGGGCACGGTGGCTCACGCCTGTAATCCCAGCACTTTGGGAGGCTCAGGTAGGTGGATTGCCAACAAGGTAAAACCCCATCTCTACTAAAAATGCAGAAATTAGTATGGCAGGGGCATGGTGACAGGCATCTGTAATCCCAGCTACTCGGGAGGCTAAGGTAGGAGAATCGCTTGAACCTGGGAGGCAGAGGTTGCAGTGAGCCGAGATCATGCCATTGCACTCTAGCCTGGGCGACAGCGAGTTTGTCTCAAAAAAAAAAAACAACAACAACAACAACTAGAAGACATCGCCTTACAAATCAACTATTTTTTTCCTTCCTTTCATTCTTTACCCTTCTGCGGCTCTTTTTATACTCCCATTGTAGTGTAGAAACACACTGGAATCCAAGTTATTTTTATTTATTTAAGCTTGGAATATAAATACTTCCCCACACAGCTACAAAGCTGTGATATTACTTTTAGTAGCAGTTTAGTATTCCTTCAGTTAACCATTCAGCACATGTAGAAGAAACTCTTTCCAAGATTTTTTAATATATCTTAACAAAAGTATTTTGACTATTATTATTATTTTTTTTTTTTTT